GTGTTGTTTGCTGCTTAGTATGACCATATAGTTTTGGGTAGGAAGCTCTTGTATCGGAGGAGTGTAATAAAGAACTGGTTCTGGAGGTCTTCTATCGTGAAAATGCCTTTAAGTCCTTGAGTTGACTTGGCCTAAGTTGCATATCTAACTGCTCACAGAGTTTAGGAACACCACCATTTGTATCTGTTCTCTACCTGTTAATGGCTGTATCACCTTGAGCATGTGATTTATATTGTCTGTGTCTCAGTTTATCCCATCTTTAAATTGGGAGATAGCGACTAATTGTGAGAATTAAGTGAAATAACATAGTAAAGTACTTAGAAATAGTGCCTGATACATATCAAGAATTCAAATGTTAGAAAACTGTCTAGTTCCATTTCAATTTTATATTTCTGTGAAGACTTTTACAATAACTTTTAAATATCTCATTTGGAAAGAATGGTACTTCAGGTGCTGTGATCGTTTCCTGATTGATGCTTTCTTATCAACATTCAGTAATATGTGTGTACACATATTCAGAGAGCTTAAGAAATACAGAATTAAGTTACGTTTTATTATACTGAGTTGCTTGTGATGTAATAGATGTGTTGTATATAAGAGAGAGGGGCATAAGATAGGGTAACATGTAAGTTCTTGGCTTTGTAAAATTGTTATAATTTCTAAAATGTTAATCATGGGTGATAAACTCATTTTCTCTTTTCCTCTCTTTATTCCTTTCTTTTGCTTGTGCAAATAGTTTATTAGGCTTCTTTTTTTTTAAATGAGGGAAGTTATATGCTTCTAAGACCATGATTCTTGTGTAATTTTCCCACGTTACAATAAGAATTCTTAGAAGCCTAAGACATAATTAAAACAAACTTTTTGAAAATTCAGAATTGTATGTAATATACAAAGTTTCCTTTAGAACCCTTTAAATAATTTAATAGTTTATGCTTAAAAAAATTGGTATGACTTGGAGCTGGCCATGTCACTTATGGCATATTTAAATTTTCCCTTCGGATTGAACTTGTTTGTTACACTCCGCCATTGTACAATGAAATCATGAATCTTCTGTCTCAAGTAAGAGCTTTTTAACTAAAAACTGCAGCATCCTGATAGTTCTTCTCAACTCAAACAGTATTCATGATAGTTTTCACATCCTTTGCCAACTTTACAATCTTCTGTATGTTATCATCTGTTAAAATGCACTCAGAACTCATAATGTTAAGAATTTGTGTCAGATGAGATAGTGAGTTGATTATTGCTGTTGATTTGTGGAATAGGCGTTACTGTTTTCATAAGTACTTTTTTAGTAGCCACATTTCATGGATGATATTGACCTGTTGTCTACTTAAATCCCTTAATCTTTAGCTGACTGCTAAATGACTTTTTTAAAAAAATAATCTCTGTAAGTTTTGGTTAATTTCCAGCCTTATAGTTCTTTCTGTTTTTTGAGCCATTGTTACAGCCATTGTCAGTCTATCTTGTTGAGGGCCATAGTCTTTTTCACTGTGCTGTATTTAACCAAGCATAATGTCCTGTGATTGACTGTTGCTTTTAAGTGTCCAAAGTGTATGAGACAGCATCATTTTTGTCTTCTAAGGAGTATTCTAACCTCCATCGAAAACACATTTATTTATTTTCTCTGGTCAGTTCACTAACACTGTGATTCAAAGACTTACTCAGCTTTAATGTTCCTTATTCATTGTCCAGCTTTTGTGGTCATGTGAGAGATGATTGAATGTACCATGACTTTGGACAGGCTCACTTTATTCCCCATGGTTATATCTTTGCTTTCTAATACCATATTGCAGCAGTTACTCAATGCAATACAAAGACTGATTTCTTGTCTTTTGCTTCCTTGGGCATTGCTTGTGAATCCAAGTAAAATGAAATCCTAGACAACTTGTGTGTTTTTCTCTTTCATAATGTTTGCTACTGACCCAGTTGTGAGGATTTTTGGTTTTCTTTACACTGCATTGTAATGAATACTTAAGTAGTCAGGTGTTCAGGTGTTCGTTACTTTTAGCAAGCAAGGTTGTGTCCTGAGTTAGGAGTATTAGAAAATAGTTT